GGGCTTAAGGGTTTAAGGGTTTAGGGCTTAAAGGGTTTAAGGGTTTAGGGCTTAAAGGGTTTAAGGGTTTAGGGCTTAAGGGTTTAAGGGTTTAGGGCTTAAGGGTTTAAGGGTTTAGGGCTTAAGGGTTTACGGGTTTAGGGCTTGAGGGTTTAAGGGTCTTGCGATGCGTACACGGATCAGAGTTTCAGAAAGTGGGGGACCCGAAAAGAAGATGCAGACCTCCATGACCTCAGAGGTCTTGAACATAACCCTAAACCCCGAACCCAACTGCACTTAACCTGAGAGCCCTACAGACTAAGCCCCTTTGAAATCCAAACCCTGAAGCGCTAAAGCCCCAACGACCCAAAGCCCTCAAGCCTTAAAGCCCTAAACACCAAACCCCAAAAACTTCGAACAGCCCTGCCTGCTGATTCCAGACCCTCCAAAAACCACTTTAAGCATCCTACTATAGTTCAGATGTTGGAAGGTCCCAAACCCTAAATCCTAAACCCCAAACCCTAAACCCGAAATCCCCAAACCCTAAACCGTAAACCCTAAACTCCCAACCCTAAACCCTAAATCCCAAACCCTAAACCCCAAAACCGAAACCCCACACCCGAAAACCCCAAACCCTAAATCCCTGAACCCTAAACCCTAAAACCCTAATCCTAAAACCCTGAACCCTGAACCCTAAAACCATAAAACCCTAAACCCAAAAACCCTAAACACCCTAAACCCTAAATCCAAAACCCTAAAACCCTAAACCCGAAAACCACAAACCCTAAAACCCTAAACCCTAAAACCCTAAAACCCTAAACCATGAACCCTGAACATTAATCCCTAAACCCTAAACCGCCGAAACCTAAACCCTAATCCCTAAGCCCTAAGCCCTAACCTTTCCGCCATGGCGCCCCGAAGTAGCACTTCGGCACACGGAAAGGCACCGACTCCTCAGTTCGGGCTTGGGGGGTTCCGGAACTGACTTTGATGTGAATTGTTTTTTGTTTGAGGGTTTAGGGTTTAGGGGTCTAGGAGTTTAGGGGTTTAGGGCTTAAGGGCTTTAGGGCTTGAGGGCTTTAGGGGTTTAGGGTTTAGGGTTTAGGGTTTAGGGCTCAGTTTAGGGTTTAGGGTTTAGGGTTTAGGGTGTAGGGTTTCTATACAAGTTTACCCCATAGCAATACCTTAGGATTGTTTTGGAGAAGTATAACTTGATTGTTTCGATGATGTGTATGTATTTAGCTGTATACCGTTTGAGCTTAAATACATACACGATATGTACGTACATACATAACCTATTTCATGAACAAGCACAAGCTGCACATGCATGTCCTTTTATGTTTGAATACATACAACTCTCTCTGTCTCTCTTCCTGCACAAATAAATACATATATGTATATATTATATATACATACACACTGTATATATAGATACATACAATGCTGGTATGCCTATACACACATACAGATGTCTGTATGTACATGTATGTCCACGGTTTCCGGTTTACGGGGCCTTGTATTCGCCTGTTTTCCAGTATGTTGGGTCCGCATCGCGAACTCTATGACTCTATGCCGCAACAATAAAATTTCAGAGAAGGCAGACAGCCTGGCAGTCACAGTCAGTCCCTGGGTCCACTCTGCTACCAACACGGAACCATCAAAGAAGCACATTCCCAGACCACCAAAGGGATCTAAAAAATAGATCCCCTAATTTGGGACCCTATACTACTAAGGGGTACTTTAAAGGAACCACCTTAGGGGATCCCCGAGCTGGCTGAAGGCCCAGGTTTCCTTTGGGCCAAGGCCATAGACTAAGTAGAAAGCCGCTTCTAAGTCTTCCGAAGCGGGTTCTCATAAGGGATCCTGAAGTATCTCATATAGGTTCCTGAAGGGTTCGTGGAAGGCTTCAGTTTAAGGTTTAGGGTTCCTGGAAGGTTTCCTAGAAGTGTTCTGGCAACTAAGGGTCTCTATCTCTAATATTTCAGGGATGCTGGGCATGAAACCGCCACGCTTTAAACACCAAATCAAAAGCCTCTATGCCTGAAACCTAAAACAAGCAAACCCAGAACTACCGCAAATGCTACATTCCCCCACCTCAAAAAAACTAACCCTAAACCCTAAACCCTAAACATCAAACATTTCAACTCGCACCAGGACTCCTGGAGGAAGATGTTGAAGACGATCTCCGGCCTGCGGGAAAGTTGCACGGTAACTTAGTGGCTCAAAGGATCGGGACAACCAAAAAACATATCAGGCTATACTGCAATAAACTACCATAACTCACGTACTTCGTTGCGGTCGTATCAGTCTTATATTATATGAATATTACATAATAGGCCGATTTGTGCGCGGCCCAGCGCCTCCATTCTGCGGCCGGGCCCCGCGGCCCGGCCGTGGCGGGCCGGCCCCCG